CTTCTAACTCTACTTGACACAGGAGGGCGTCTGCTTGAAGACTACCGGCAGGCACGTCCTTGCAAAGACGAATAAAATACTTAATGGTGTTTAGGGAGGCTTCCAGGTGAATGGGGTATCTCCCTAATTCAGCTCGTGCAGCAAGGTTAGAAGTGGTTCTAGGAACATTGAGTGAGTACTTACAAAATTTTAAATGTACACTTTCAATTGGACAAGATTTTAAGTTTTTGAAAGCCCCGCATATTTAACATGTTCCCTCCAGACCGCCCATGTCCAACCAACCCTTGTGGGAATGACGGGCATTGCCTCTTGGTTCCAGAAGGCTTCCGATGTTTGTGCTATAAGGGATGGACAGGTACATACTGTGAGAAAGGTAAGTTTGAAAAGAAAACCTCTAGTGTAGTTTTTACCAGACATCATTGATGGTGCTATGTTAGTTTCCATATTTTTTCAAAGCGGTGAATCATTACATTTTTAATTTTCTTTTCGTAAAGTTCAAAATCTTTTGACCATCTCAAATTACCACTGTTAAAGGCATCTAATCCAAGTTCAGGATGGAAAAATATTCTGGATGAGAAAGTCTGACGGAAATTTATATCTACGTATATATGATGACGTATATATGATATAATGCCATATATATTGGCATATGTTTGCCACCATTTCGTACTTGAAGCGTTTAAAATTGTCCAAAAATAAGCTTAGGGAGACGTCTGTTTATTTTTTGGGTGCCACCAAGAAGTAGCCAGAAGTAGCTATACATAGCTCAAGATATGAAACAAGGTGAAGCAACCGTTTATATCAAGCGACATCGCATTTTTTGCCTCAAAGATATCAGAATGCTACGAGGTAGGGTTTATTCAATAATGACCAGAAAATTTACATTGAAAATCCAGTTTTGACGCACTGAAATTGCATTGGATGCCTTAAAGTGCCTTTTAATCAAAGAAGAAAAAAAAGTTAACAAAAAGCTTTGGATTATTGAACATGATGGTAAGCACCTGCTTTCTTTATCGTTAGGATAAACCAAGTAAACATTATGCAATTACCTTTTTAGGTTTTTTTTTTGCGACGTCTCAGGGAGGAGCCTTATGGTACAGTATTGTGTGAAGTTTGCAAGAATTCTAGGAATGGTACAGACATTTTGTCCACAGGAATTGAATGTCCACAGGCATGTTTCTGACCACATTCCTGGAAACCCTTGGGAAGACCTCTCTGCCCCGGACGGCCCTACTTTCTGTCACCCCGGGGCTCGTCCACTATACACTCAGGGGAGGAGTGCACTGTATCTGTCTAGACTTAACAGCTAAGTCTTCCTCAAAATCATGAAATCATGGCAGTGCCATGCAAACAATGACCCCAACAGCAACCACCGTCGCCATGGCAATGCATGTTTTCATTGCCAGTCTTGTTTTTTTTTTCTTTGTAAAGTGTTCCTCGGTGAAAACGTCGAGGCGGACTGGCAACTTGGTGAGTCCATCACCCGTGGAGAGTGGTCGGCCGGGGAAAGACCGGGTCTGATAGGAGACTGTAGACAGAGAGACCGATTTCCCTTCCGCGTATACAACCCGGCGTGTCCGGGCCACGTAAATAACGTTGGCCAGGCCATCAGCAACGTGGAACAACACAGCGGCAACTTCTCCTGGCACTATAAGAGAGGTTACGACATCGAAAAGGGAGGGACGCCCTTCTCCCCTGGTCTTAACACCGCGGCGGGAAGAACGGATGGCAATTATACAGCAGGTGCCGACTCCTTCTACGCTTCTTTCTTCTTCAAACTCGCCAACAACAAGCTTGACGAGTCCAGGGTTGCCGTGGTAGCAGGAAATCCTCAAGGGAACGAAAGAGCTTCGAACTACCTCGAAATCTACGCGGAGCCAGGACAGAGTGGAGCCCGATTGAAAGGGCTCCACATCCGAGTTGCGGACAGCTACCCCAGCTATGAGTACTGCTCTTTGTACAAGAACTGTTCCACCGGACACTACTTTTACATAGCCTAGAATCTGAACATCAGTGTCTGGCACAGGATCGAGATGACGTTACACGCAAAACCTGTGGACTACTTCGACGAATGGCACTACGTGGTGGATCAAAAGTACAACCTTTCTGGGGGCGCGTACGCCCAAACGCAGCGGTACGACGAAGGTTTGGCCTATGAGTATGTGAACAGGCTCAAATTTCAGCCAAGGCACGACAATTTTAAAAAGAAATATCAAGGATTTTTCTTCGATGATGTTTACTACAGGGCCTTCAATGCCGAAGAGGAATTCGACACGATTGAAGAGTACGGAACGTCGTTTGAAGAGTTCGCTTTGCCATAGAAAGATATATAAGAAGACGAATATAGCTACGCATATCACCTTGGCCATGTAACTGAATCAAAATAAGACTAAAGATCATTTGGTCTTACAGATGTACTAATAAATACCTACAACATTACAAACATAGGACACAGAATAATGATCACAAAACTCCGGATAGGTCACAGCATATGTATATGCACAGTGTGCTATCATGGCTGACTGTTAGTGAAAGATGTTAACATGTGTACCTTCCACAAGTCGCTTTTCTATAAGCAACCGACAACACTTTACAGTAAACTACATCTTGTATCTAACCAGCACGGTTACAGCACGAGATCTGCAGCAAGAATTCGAATAATTTTAAGCTGCCAAAGCCAAGAACATCAGCAGTTACTAAATATTTTATTTACAAATGCTCAAAATTGTACAGTACACTTCCATATCATATCAGAATGTCAGTAACTACTAAATTCAAAACTCTTACCAAAGACAGACAAAACTGTATAGATTGTATAAGTGTATATATTGTGTATGTTGATGTATGTATGTGCGTGTTAAAAAGACATCAGAGAATATAGAAATTTGCGATGATGTTGCTTTTCATCTTCTCATGAACCGAACCAATTGTCTGATCAAACATGTATATTTGGGTCTTCTGTGCACTGGCAGTATACATAATTGACCTGATAGTTGGGGTGCCTTGGACATACATTTAATACCACAGGACTTTATTCAAACCGTTTAGGTATAGACCCCCTTCTGTTATTTTAATCTCTGATTTAAATTCATTTTGCTTAAATGTTTCTAAAGAATTAGAGCAATAACTAATCATAAAATGAAGATGGATTAATATTGAAACCTTAAACCCACTCACGAGTCTTGTCTTGGTTAAATGAGGCAAAAACAGCTTAAAACTAAAATCTATGCGCCTGATCTGCAGTCACGGCTGGAAGGCCAGGATGGTGCTCGGCAAAGGCAGAATGCGGTGGGACCATTGCCATCCCGGGGTCCTGTTGACGGTAGGATAATGGAAATCATCCGATACGTTAGGAAAAAAACAACAACAACGGCATGTTCAAAATGTTTTCAACAAAATATATGTAGAGCCATTGTCACGGCTATCTCGCCCCCAGTGATTTCGCCCTCCCCGGGGCGAAATCTCTAGCAATTTTGTCATCCCCGGGGCGAAATCTCTAGCAATTTTGTCATCCCCGGGGCGAAATCTCTAGCGATTTTGTCATCCCCGGGGCGAAATCTCTAGCAATTTTGTCATCCCCGGGGCGAAATCTCTAGCAATTTTGTCATCCCCGGGGCGAAATCTCTAGCGATTTTGTCATCCCCGGGGCGAAATCTCTAGCGTTTTTGACCTCTCCGGGTCGAGATTTCGCCCTCCTTGCTAGTGATTTGGTCCTCCCACCTCGCCCCCATTTAGCGCTTTCGCTCCCCACCAAATAAATCTGTTATTTCCTCAAAAATTTCCGTTTAAGGACGTCTAAGCCCACAATTTTGTTAAATAATTGTAATCAAATCGATACTATTTTGTTGTATTTGCGGAATTATGTTGCATATTTCAATCAAGGAGATTAGTACTTTATTGCTTCAACCGAACCTGAAATATCGTTAGAATTGTTGACCAAATTTTTGTACCTGCCATACATGTACGTGTAAAATAGTCTAGACTAACTAAGGGGCGGGTGGGGGGGGGGGCGAGATCTATGGAGGTGGGGCGAAATCGCTAGCGATCTCATCCACACTGGAGGGCGAAATCGCTGGGGGGCGAGATCGCCGTGACACCGGCATAACCAACCATCAGGCGATGTAACTCACGTGGCGTGGCAGCAACAGGCCATATGAAAAATGAAATTATGAGTAAAACCTAATTTTTGCACATCTAACTGCAAACACTGTTTAAAGTTGTCAAGTGAGAACGTCACTATTCCACTTGACGGCAGCGAGTTCCACTATACGAGTATTTCAGCAAGATAATAAGACTACTTACAGTGAACTCTTCGTTCCTTTCAGGACTGAATGCCAAGGTCCTCACCCGCTGTTGAAGGCCCCAAAACGCGCCAGTCTCCCCCGACGCCAGTTGAGAAGCATCCCAAGGATCCTCCTGGTTAAGATCGAGAACACCTTTTTCTTTACATGTATTAGGTAAAAAAATGTCCACATGGCTCCAGGCAACGTTTTCATCGGTAGGATTTTTTCTGTCCGCCAGTCGTACGACAGTAGAGCAATTTAAATAAGGCAAAATATTCTATGCGTAACGTTTTACTAGTCTTCACCAGACTTCTTTTTCGGGCTTATTAAATGGCAAGAGAAGGTTACCGACCAGAGAGGGTCCAATTTGATCGTCGGTGGCCGGCTACCTTCTCTAGTCAATTAATACCCCTTTTAGGCCGATTTCTACGATTTATTCAGCCTGCAAAAGAAGCCTAGTAGAGAATAACGTTTTACCAAGGTCACGGTTATCCTTTATACGAAGCCTTACCGCAAAAGGTCCTCCTCGACATCCCTGAGCGCCATGGCGCTCTCTCCCGGGGAGGGTTCGTCAGCGGGGGAACCCGGCAAATCCTGAAGAGCGCTCGGCTCCTGAGGCACCATCCTGGCGGAAATGACAAGACTTCTACTTACAAGTATATTATTTTAACCTTCTCCCTGCTTCCTAGCCCTGATACCAATAGAGAATCGGTAGCAAGATGGCTACCTCAATGTTCTAAAGGTTAAAGACAGCGGTTGAAATCGGCCGGATTACAAAGACGTTACCGTGCGTGTGAGGTTTTTCGTTGTGCATATGAAGAGGATGCATGCCAGGTGCTTCGATTGCTTATATACGTTTTCAAGACTCGTATTGACGTATACCTATATCCTTCCGCCCATACAGTTCTCAATTGCTAAATGAGCACGATCTTGGGTTTTCCTAAAGTCATTCCACAACATCTCTGGTGTTTTGATACGAAGCGTGCTCAGACGACAACTTTAAACTTTCCCAACCCTCATACTAACATCAGCTTACCTATTGTCCCTGCCCGCATCTGCTTGGTTCACCATCAGCAACATCAGGAGGCCGGACAGACCCAAGAGCATCGCCATCTTATAGCCCATGGTTACCTACTGAATAGCAACAACCTACATGGAATATCTAACGTAATATATCACCAGCTTGTAGCCAATATTTCATATCTTCCATGGAAATCCTACATGTTTATAATTTTTTTTTATTTGTAGAATCAAGACTTGTATTATGATGACATCAGCGCGCGCATTAATTTTCACCTGATTAAAAAAAAAGATACATTTTCTTGGCCTCTGACAGTGGTCAACTTTCCGAAAATGGGCAAAGATGTCTGTTGACATGCCGGAAGGTGGATGTAAATAAATACTATGATAGCAGACAAGACAAGTCTTTGATTTATGGTATTGTTTCTTTTACTTTGATGTAGTGATTAATTTCCTTCATATTATATGTCATATGTCAAACCGATATTTTATGAAAATGACAATGTATGTTGTAATAGCTGGCAGTGAACTCAGCACAATATAGGTATCATCTCAAGGTTTATGATGTCAAAATTTTCGACCTATCGCACTAAGTTAGATTTGGAGTCCACGGAGGATGTCATTCATAAAATTTACATGCCGTGGCCTAACTTGATCGCATGTTGTTTACATTATGATCCTCCCAGGGTATGTTTGACACTAATTGCCCGTGACATCTTTAGACGGCCTTTGCTCCCAGTATCCATAAATTTATCCTTAGTTGAGAAACCGGTTAGGTAACCGACGGGTGCTGAAGCCCCTCCTAATCATTTGCGGAGGCACACACGGCACACCATGGGGGCATTTCGGTAAATCAAACAGTGTCCATATTCCGCACATTGAAAGAAACTATCAAATCATTGAGTAACAAGTACAACCACATGCGTCTCGACACATGGTGGTAATATAAATGGTGTAAATAGGGACCTCTGACCTCTCCACTGTATTTCATAATGTTAATGAAGTAGCTTTGATTGTTGTGCATATAAGTAAGTAGGCCTACGTTTTGATTACCTTCGCCAAGAAGGTTATGTTTTCAGAGGCGTTCGTGTATGTGTGTGTTTGTGTGTGTGTGTGTGTCTGTAAACACTATAACTTGAGAAGGCTTAAACGGACTGACTTGATATTTGGTAGGTGGGTAGGTCTTGATGAGACCTCAAAATGATTAGATTTTGGGCCGCCTGGCGGCTTGTCATGGTACTGCAGCAGAACTTCCGGGTTTGATATCTCACGATCCAGACATGCTAGGGTGACGAAATTTAGATGGTAGATAGCTCTTGTGCTAGGGATGAAGTGACATGAGTTTGGGCCCCCTAGTTGCTTGCTCTAGAACTGCAGAGGGGTTTAAAGGACAAATGTTTAAAAGAGGATAACTCAAGAACCGATTGATGGATCGTCAGGGTTTTTGGTGTGTAGGTAACTTAAGTGATGTTTGACATAATAATGTGAGTATTATGCAAATATTACCGTAATTTGCATAATTCATGAGGAAATTCCATAAATCAGTTGCATCACATAATAGGACTATTCAAGCTTGTGGCATGTGTAATTGAGACCAAGAGAAACACAGGCAGATATCGATTATGTAAATTAAGACTTAATTTGCATAATTAATGAGTATATGTTATAATTCAGCAATGATAACTGCCTCGAATTCCATACTTAGGATATTTGAAAGTTAAATGAAGGTGAACATCATTAAACATCAACTCAACATCAATTCAAATAATGACCTCATTTGCATAATTTATGAGGAAATGCTAATAAAAAATACAGTGCACCACAGTACAGAGCAAAATGAGGCAGGTTTTTGTTTTCAAACACTCTACAGTCAGTAGCACCTTTGGCCTGAAATATATAGGTCAGGCTGTAATAGAATCTGGTCAACTGTACATACCGAGGGAGAACATCATCAATCAAACTGGTAGCAAGCCCCACTGCTTCCACACGTGTTTTGCTTCCACACGTGTTTTGCGTTAGAGGAACTGTCTGACAGCTGGTGTTTTGTTGCATAAACCACACAGCCTTTCCCTGCCTTGCACAAAGGAGATGCATGTTGCATCAGCCAAGTTTGGTACCTTTAGCAAATGGAACTCGTTTGTCCGTGAGAGACTTTCAAGAGACCTGTATACAGCATGGATATGTTAAATGAGAAGAGGCTTGAGCCGAGGAAAGGAGGATGACTGGTGAGTAAAACGATTAGTCCTAACAAAGGGATTTGTATGGTTTGTTTTTACAGACCCCTTTGTCTGATCTGCTAAAGCTGGATAGTGTTTCGGGGGCCCGGTTAGGGGACATGCAAGTTTGCTTTCTAAGTAAGAGATATTCATGTAGTCGATGTTACCCATTCAAAGTTATCACGAAGAATATCTAGTGTCCGCAAATAATTTTGTCTGTCAACTTCTTTGTGAAACATTTTCATAAACCATTAATTTAAAGGGCATTAGATTAATCAAAGGTATGGAGTAGGAAGTCAGGAAGTTGCCATCTATAGGAATTCATTTGTGGACAAGTGGGGTTCAGCACTCAACCTTGGCATTTCAGTGCGTGGGCATCATTTTCAAGGAAGGCACCAACTTACAACATAGTAAAGCTGCATACATTTATGTATACATGTAACTTTCCAAGCAGATAAGCAAAGGAAGAGACAAGCTTGCTCTGTTTTCTATCAGCTCTAGGCTTTTCTGAGAATTTTGTAAAACCATACTTTATGTATTTTACAAACAAAATACTTAATTTCTTACAGCAGCACTACTAAGAACGTCAGGAGACCAATCAAAATTGAACAAATAAGTACGCTGTCAACAG